ATCACACTTTTATATAAACGTTTTTTTTTCAGTAGCAATTTTTGTACGATCTAAGAGGGGGTATCTACTCGAAGGGATAACACCATCTTAGTGAGAAAACGCACAAAATATTATCTTACATTAAAAAGGAGATAATACAAATCTTGAAAATTATAGACCGATCAGCCTATTAAGTCACATCTACAAATTGTACGCGAAGGCTTTAACCACACATTTAACAAACAAACTCGAGTTCTTCCTTTCAAAAGAACAAGCGGGTTGTGGAGCAAAACATGGAACGAGAGCTCAATGCTGGGAATAACCCTCCGAGATAGAATCCCAAATAGAACCATCAGACACAACGCAGGATAAGATGCTGTCGAGATCATTCTGCGTATGAAGTGGAACTGGGCGGGTCATGTGGCCAGAGTAACCGATGGTCGATGGACAAATCGTTTCGCTGATTCACCCTGTATTTCATTATTCTGGATTGCCACAATTCAGTGTTTATTTTTTCCTTTGCATAATGCAATAGAAGACAGTCGCGGGGTAGAAGGTCGCCAAACGTTTTCAGTACTGAATAAATAGTGTAGAAAATATTTCCAGCTTCTCATATTATCTAATGTAGGTAAGTATTCTTCAAAATTATTTAGTAGTGACTTCTCGTCTCGCTTGCATAGCTTTTTAAATAGTTGTGTATAATGCGTATTGCAATAAAGTTTAATTTAAGAGTTCAATTAATTTTTATCTTAAACCTATAATAGTTGACGATGCGAAACTTCTCTACGAACCGTATTTGAACCCTTGTACGTGTTCAAAAACGTAGGTGCTTTTCAATATTATAACGACTCATATGTCCAAAACGTTTGGATCTACAAGGCTGCATAACGACATACTACTAAAATAGAATTAAAAATATTAAGGAAGATATAAACTTCTCTTACTGTGAATACTTTGCTTTTTAATTATAGGTAACATCAAGGACCATGTTGTTTTAGTGTCTCAATCAAACATTGTTTATAGATTGTTTTTGGCTAAAATTGTATGATCGTTCAAGTTATTAGGAGGTTTCTTTAGTGCTTTGTCTTGAGTTCGTTTATATAGTCTATACAGATCTCGTTTTAGTTTAATTATTACCAGAGGAATCCGGGCAGTGGGTTACAAGTGTAAAACTTTAGAGTCTATAATAATTGTAAAAATGTATTTTCTCAGACTATGAAGGCTTTTACGGCCGGTCAAATTACATTTAGGAATGTTTTCCGGGCTTTGAAGCCGTGGTCTATCGGAATTTCTTCCTGACGTTTCGTCCACAACTGCGGACACAACTGTGGAAAATGTCCACCGCAGTTGTGGACGAAACGTCAGGAAGAAATTCCGATAGACCAAGGCTTCAAAGCCCGGAAAACATTCCTAAATGTAATGGATTTTCTATCTTTTCAATTTTTTTACAGCGTTTAATATTTGGCTTTGTGTGTCTTCAAGTTATCTTTTTTCGTCGATCTTTGAGAGCATGTGATTATCAACGTAAGTTGCTACTTCTTTCACATTTTTTTGTTCCCATATCCCATTGCAAGTAAAATATTTACAAGAAATTCAAGTATTTGCTGAAATGCATATTGAAGGCTACGCTATTGATATATCTAATTCATAAGTTAATGCCATGTGATCAGATATTCTTTCGTAATTGGTCGTATATAATACATATATGAAGAAGTACCTATGTAGCTTGTTTTAGCCATCAGAAATGTTGACGTGTTTGTCGCCAGATAAAATCAGTTTTTTCAATCAGAAAAAAAGTTTTCACAAACATTGCAAGTTGTTTTATGTTACGTCGGTTAAAACTGAAGTCCTCAATCAAAAAGCTGTAGTAATTTATAAAAAAATTATTGTCAAGATTTTTTGTTCAATGCCCATTAGAATGTATTTAGAAAAATGCAAAAAAATGTATCCCTAAATTTGGGTTTAAAAAATAACCGAATTCATTGAAAGTGTTATTTGCCGGGTCGGTAAAGCGTTGTGTACACGCCTTTACAGGGTGATATAAAATTTGCGTCATTCCTCTGGGGGTATTATCTGAGGGTGTACCCGAAACATCGGAAGTACCGAAAACATAGTAAAAAAATCATTATTATAAAAAACTGGGATGTTTGCAAAAAACTGTATCAGAAATTATGCATAATTGCTTTTCGAGGTAAGCTTCCTCATTAATAGTAAGTTACGTGTTACTACTTCAGTGTCGAAAGCTCAACTGAAAATGAAACAGGTTAGGGTAACCGGTACATTCAACGAATTTCAACACTAGGAGTAGTAGTACTGTAAGAGGACCCGATAGGTCCGGCGAGTAGGCCTTAAAGGTCCTTTTCGCCATTCCCCCTGCATCCATCCCCACCTAACCACTCCTGATCTCCGCCACCCAGGCGTCCTGTCTCCCTGACTAACGCAAGGATCCGTCTCCACTCTAAGGAAGACCGTTTGGTGCGGTAGAGTGTGGAGGCCCCAAGGAGGCGCCTCCTAGTAGACGATCAGCGATGGCAAACTTCAAATGTGTGGTATAATGTTTCCTCCGCCATTCCACGTTGTGGACACACGGGGCTATTCCCACCCCACCAATTCCTAGTAGGTGTAGGTGTCAGGGCCCAGCGACTCCTTGACATCAACCATTTGGATGTTGTCTTGGCGTCACTTGGGGTTCCAATCAACTCTTTGGCTTGGTTACACCCTTCCGCCTTTAAAATCACATTTAGAGTGCTTGCTACCTGTCGGTAACTTAACCCTATGTAAGGTTTGGCAGTTAGAGCCCTATTACACGAGGATACTTTTACCCGGCAACTATTAATTCGGATACTCGTTGGAACTCGGAGCCTTATGGAACGATACACATAGGGATACTTCTCACAATCAGTTTCGGCAACTGAATTTCGGTCTGCCGGCAATTTTACGACTTCCGGGGCCCGATTTTCTATGGGCCTTTATGGACCTGTTCATATATGGACTTGCTACTTATGAGAACCCGGCTACTATTTTACTGTCTTGCTACAAGTCTGCGATGAGTATCCCGCAATGTAAATGGCATCAGAGATTTCGGTCTGCCACGAATCAGCGGACAGCTGTATCCTCGTGTAAAAGAGCTCTTATTGAGCTCTCAGAAGATACGAACCTTGCCAATGCATACTTAATAAATGGATGTACGTGTTTCTGCATTCAATTATTAAATTTAACTCTTCAATTAAGTTGGAAAAACAGTCAAAACTCACACATTTTTTTATACATATAGGGTTCAAACATAGCAATTAGACGTCGAGGCTTGCAGATTTTCAAAACGTGTAAATACTGTTTCATTTTGCTCATTAATGATTTAAAAGCCAATTTGTGCTTATTGAAGTAATCTACGTCGAGAATACGCTTTAATTGACTGAACCCGGGAAGTTTAATGAACGACAAACTCGAAAATGGCCGTAAAATAGATTATAAGCAAGTTCACTTCCCATTTCTAATACGAATTTTAAAAAATATGATATTGTTAAAGCTTATTTTAAATTTTATTTGGTGATAATGAGAGATGGAAGAACTCTTTTATGGAGGCTGCTTTTCTTAAAGCGATGGAAACGAATTTTGTAAGATTATAACAGAATCGATTATGCAGTGGGATGCATGGGATTATCTGTACCATAGTAAAATTTGAACTAAAGACAACAATTCATTTTTCATCACGAGTGAGTTCTTTGAACTAAAACATGCATTCAATTTACTATTTTAGTGACAAAATTGTCATTTGTTGCCTAACTTGATAAGATTTATTGCAATTTGGGAAATTTAAATAATAAAAGGATGTAAACAGAGACCTTCCACATACGAAAAACAATACGAACAATTACTCTATTTGCAGTTTTTAGTAAGTTCTTTGTTTTCAGATTTGTAAAACTAAAAGACAATAGCGAAAATAATAAATTAAAAAAATGTAGCGGTTTATACAACATGGGTAATTTTGGGTTTTACACAAATTCACTTAACATTTCCAATCAGATTTATTACTTTTTATTATAACAAGTTTTTTGTATTTGCGCTAGCGCTAGTAATATAATTTAAATTCTGTTAACGGGAAAGCAATTACAACCACAGCAACAAATGCAGTATATGCGAGTATCAACATAACAGCTTTTGAGATTTTTCTTAGCCAACTTAGACACATTATAATTTAATTATAATTATTAATTTACAGTGCATATAGTGTTAATTGGTAAACACGAGCAGACTGTGAAAATTATGTCACATTTAAAACAATAGACAACGTAATTTTATAATGGCACTGCTCTTGCCCAAAACAATACATGAGTAGGTCATACGAAACGTTTTAAATGGTTTTGCAGTTACATCTTATGAATTTTTGATCAGATAACAACAGCGACGAATACATATAAATACCATTGACATAATTTCGATTAGTTAGTTTATCTGATTTGAGTGGACAATATGAGGAGTATTTATTTTCTTACTGTGATTTTAATAGTTAAAATGGTACATGCTGAACTACCATTCGAAAGAAACTTGAGAATTGCTCGGCAACACCAATTATCCGAAATATATGGACCACCATCAGTACAACCATCACCTGGTGAAGAAGACTCGACCACCGAAGTACCTTTAACTACTACTGACAAAGATTCAGAAAGTATTGATGCAGAACGTGCCAGGAAGCTGAATGAAAAACTAACCGAGAATGAAGCAGGAGATGTTGGAATTTACTACATTTACCATCCTTCAGGGTTGCTGCAAAAGGTTAGCTACCTAACCAAAGATGATGTGAAACAAATGTTATTCTCCGCCAAGCTGAAATATGAAAATGTTGAACCTGTCGCTGGTCCTGTGTATACTTATGATCCAACTACTTTTGTATTTAAGAAAATTCAATAAAAGATACGACCCATATTTCGATTTGAAAGATTTCCTTCATTCTGTATCCGTCGTCAAATTTCTTCCAAATATACTTTTTGAAAAATGTATGATTTTTTTAGTAGGTATCAAATAATAAAAAAATTATTCCTATAACTGCACGTTCAAATAAATAGATGTTAAGGTTTACTGTAATCGCTTGAAAGCGTACGTTTCCGGATCGTATGTGTATACTGGACTTCTGATAGGCTCAACATTTTCATACTTAAGTTCAGCGCTGTATGCCATATTAGCTTGATCATCTTTTGTACGATACGATACTTTCTGCAAAAGTCCTGTAGGGTGGTAAATGTAATATACTCTTGCTCCTGCGTCTTTAGTCTCTTCCAACAGATTTTCTTTCTGTTTACCTTCGTCGTTGTTTAAAGTATCATTGCTAAAATCTTCGAATATTATTTCAGTTGTCGTGGGCAACACGGTAGTGGTTAATTCTTCAGTAGGTGATGGTACTGCAGTAGTGACTTCTTCTTGAGGAGGTCCGTATGTTACAGGGGGTTGATTTGGTGGGGCTGCCAGCGTCTCTTTAGGTATGGAATACGTTAAGTCAACTTGCACTTCTGTGCCAGTTCTCTCGAAAACTTGTCCAGTATTTTCTGCGGTGGAAGAGCTTGACCTGAAACCAGTATCTGTGTTCTCGGACCCGTCAAACAGTTTGGTGACTTGACTGTTGACTTCAGGATTTTGTCCATTTGTCTGAGGAGGTAAATAGCTCCAACTTCCTTCATTGGGAGATTTGAATGTAAACTGGGGAGATTCCGGTATTTTAAAGGCAGGGCCTGAGGGTTTCCATCCAGAAGGTAAATATCCCTCTAAATTTTCATCGTCTTGAAGATTTCTGGTATCTTGTGGAAGCTCTGCAAATATGACGCCACCACACACAATATAATACAACACACACGATTTAAGAAACATTTTTACTGCTGATCAAAAGAAGATGAACTATACTGTGAAACATTGTGGCGGCAAGTTTGGTTTTATACTGAAAATGATAACATTCGGAATCATCGATTTAACACTGACCCAAAATTGGGAATTTCTGTGAAGGCTGATGAGAAGCTATTTATTCTATTAGTGAAAACAAAAGAGTCTGGTGTTAAATATTCATATAAAGTGTCATTGCAAATCAATAAATTACATTCTTGGATTTATTTCACATTTCTAGTTAGATGCCATCAGCGGTATTTAAGAAGGAAGAAACTTATTTAGTACAACTCATAAAAAATTAAGGAAAATAAAAGAACAAAATTGCTATTCGCTTATATCTATATAATCCTGTATCTAACTCTACCCTTGTTTCCTGACGAAAGTGCGACATTTAGGTAATTCAATTCATTTGCACTATCGAACCATTGTATAGAAGCTGTTTCGAAAACATATTGAAATTGTTGCTAAAAATTTCGCATCGTGTGAAGCAATGGCCACGATGCTATTTTGATTGGCAATTTTAATTGAAGGTGGTTGCTAACTAAAATCACGTTGCATCGCTGAGCTAGATAAATGAAGACATTTGCAAATACAAATCGATGGCTAAAGTGCAAAACTTTGTAAGTGGATTTTTTCCATTTATCCTTTTATTCCATAAACAATTACAAAAAATCAAAATCTTTAATCCTACGAAAGCTCATAAGTACATTATTAATATTCGGGATCCCTGGCAAATAAAAAAATCGGCAGGTGTATGTGACCGGGTGTTATGTGCAAATATATGAAAAACTGCTAAAATAGAAAATCCGTATGAAGTTCATTATATTCCTCACACTTTAAAAAATATATATTTCGTGTTTTCTATACCGCCATTGCCCAGGCAATAATAATTAATAATAATTACGAAGACGCTTGGACTGAATTTGCAAGGCGTAAGCAAAAAAATGAGGACATTCATATTACAGTTCCATCGTTGTATACTAAAGTGCTTAAAAGTAAACCTAATAAGTTCCAACACCTCCAAGAATTAAAACAGTTTATCCTAGAAGACTTCAGACCATTTTATAACAGCCTTATTAGCGAATAAAAATAATCACCTGAGATCAGTTTCATGAAAGTTGGAAAAATGTCCTTTTAATAATATCAAAACTACAGGATTTAGTTGCGTATCTACTTAGAAAATGTTTTTTTTGTAATTTCTGAATAAACAGCTTTGGTAAATTATGTCGTTTTATTTATTTAAACAATATATTTACTTATTATTGCAAACAGATTGATTTTTTATTTTAGAAATTGGCGTTTTAGGATTACTTTTTGGAAGAAGTTTAAATAGTAAAAGTCAAGTCAAGTGCGTTTCTTTTTAATCAAGAAAAATTTTAAAAAGGTATGTACTTATATCTCCAGAAAATGCTTCAGCATATCACATTATTATATGTAATTTAAACTATTTTTCAAATTTTTCAATTAAAGAGTGTAACCATTTTTGGCTTCTCCTGTAAATTTATATAAAAAAGACTTACGAGGTTTCTCACTTTAAGCATCGATATATATACTATTGGACATATGTAAGTAATCATTTATTTTAAAAATAGTTTTGACTAAATTTGTTGCGATATTTTTTATGAAGGTCAACTGATTTTATTTTATTTTACACTCCAAAATAACAAGAATGAAGTTTTTAAGAATTGATAAATTTAATAACCGATCGCATATTCATTGGGGGCTATTGAACTTTCTAAGACATGAAGTGGCAGGTTTCTCCAAATTTCTGAAATCAGGCCATTTTGGCAAATAATTCAGCTGGTAGTCCTCGTTCTACGTCTTCCCATAGGTTTTATATCGGGTTCAAGTCAGAGCATTGCGTAGGCCAATTTAAAATTGTAATATTGCTCTGCCTGAGGTTCTCTTGCACATGATTGGAAATGTGGTTCGGTTCATTATAGTACAGTAAAGGCAACCGCAGAGTCAATCCCATTCTGCAAAAGAAAGAAAGCTGCACAGCACGCCTTCCCAATTGGCTCTGTACAAAACATATCCATTATCCCATCGATAAAGTGCAGAAGACCAGCAAGAGTTAAGAAGATTGGAAGACCAGATGAAATGCTAGCCCACAAAATAACACCTGCTGTTGTAGGTAACATAAATATGAGGTTTAATTTACTGTGGAATGTATTTTCTTCTTTCCGGGAGGGTAGGAGAGCAACAACGCGGCCGTTGATCAACGGTAGAAATTTATTGTATCACAATTGAACAACACTCACTAATTGCTAGCGCAAGATGGCAATAAGACAGAACGTGCGTATATGCCCAAACGGCAGAGCTGGATAATAGTAGCGTTTGCTTGTGGATTTCATAAGATTTTTGAACACTTGACACGCTTTACTGAAGGCCTTACATACTTGAGGATTGAAAGGCGTAGCTTATAGGTCTATAATTATTTAAAGATATTGTAATGCGTTTCGTCGCTCAAAAGGACTTATATTATAAGTATATGCATTCCACAGGGTTCCCAAAAATCCCTGGCAAATGAAACTTGTGTTTTCTTTAATGAAAAATCCTGTATTAATATGTCGCAACTGATTCTCTTACAAATGAGAATAATTTTGACATAAGGTTCACTCCCTCTGCGGTCAACTGTTTACCAGATATGATCGCAAAAACTTAAAATAGCACTGTTCCAAATCTTCAGAATAAATTGAAAAAGTTGGCATGTTTAATATCATTTAATTAAGGATAGGAACTTAACGAGAGGTGTTCGATTTATTTTCAGCGCTATCTTGCTTGCCTTGTTATTTACCATTGCTAGAATTTGTTGGGCTTCTTGAATATTATCTGATATAAACACTATGTCATCTGCTAAGCATAGGTGGTTTATTTTTGCTTCGTTTATGTTTATCATACACTGCAATAAAGCTACGAATAATTTAGGAGAGACCGCGTCTCATTGGCTCAATACTCTCTCAATTTTAAATTTGCCTCTATATTGGTTTTCTGTAATTTTATTAATGCGGCACTCATCTAGTGTTTATAAGAGTTTCTGTTGATGTATGGAATCAAACGTCTTTCGAAGTAGACGACTGTTAATACAGTTATGGTTACTATTATCGTTATTATTATACTTGTGATGAGTGGTTGGCGAACATTAGCGATTAGCCGAAAAGCGCAAATAACTCGCTAATGTTATTGTCAACGTTAAGGGGACCTGATATGTCACCGAAAAAAAAGAAGAAGCCCGTGTGAAAATCATTCACAAGTTACTTGTAATTCACTTGCTTAAATCCCCAAGTAAATAAATAAATATGTAAGACTTTATTTGTTAACGAAACACTTTTCTTCGGATCGGTATTGAAATGTAAAAGTAATTTATGTTCAATCCTGTAAACGCTTCCTCATCTCTGTTCGGTATAACGGACCATATTTCATCAGAAAGAAGGTTTTCGACTTCTTGACATGTTCATAATGAAGTCTGGCAAGCGGAAGCACATTCAGAAGCTTGAGTTCATTTGCCAAGTACAGCTAACGACCGCAAAACAGCGTTTAAGCTCAGTATTAATTGCTAAATATTTGTTATAAGGAGCCATAGTCCGAACACATAACTTCGATGAAGTTAGTAATATATCTTATTAGTTTGCAACAGAAAACAACTAAAAGAAATTATTCATTAATGAATTAATAAAAGTCAAGTTTTCCATTCCTGTCGCAGAGTAAAAGTGAGCATTAAATAGTAATCGATAGATATTAATTTAAACTGACACCGCTATAAATTTTAATTTCAGTTTCAAGCTCTATATTTATTTATGAACTCAAAAATGTTCCCAAAAAATTGACTCGTAATCCTATGGTACTAATTGAGAAAGAAATAGTCACCGATTTTTGTCGCAAATGTTTAACAAAAATATATGTTTTTAGGTGTCTATTAGTTATGGTTAATAAGTAGTAAGCGCTGTTGCAACCTCAATAAAAACACAAATATGCTATGAAATAAAATTAACCGAGTAGAATATACAGGTTGTACAGCGTGTCAAAAAATCATTAATGCACTATACATAATTTTATTCTACATTATAATTTCCCCACATACATAAATCAAGTAAATTTAAATTAATGGTGACCGTGTTCTTCATTTATGGACTGGGAAAATTTTCAGTATGATCTGACAATATTAATAAACCATTAAACCCTCTGGAATAATACACTTTGAATAAATTCAGATAATAAATAGCTGAAACAATTTAACCGGAATCGGTAATTTACTTATAGCTAATAAATTTCAAGTTGCAATGTCACTTTCATTAATATTACATGATTATACTGTATGTGATTAGAAACACAGTGTTATTCGATATTATATTAACACATGTTCAGGAAAATTATTTGAATTTAATTATGTCAAATATGTTCAAATTATTCCAGTAGTGCTTATTATCATTAATTCTTTGGATGAACGCTTACTCATGAGGATAGCATTTCGCTTGTCTCAATAGCAATTAGATACATTTAATATAAATTTTTGTAATGTTGTAAAATTTCAATTATTTGAAATTTTGGAAAGGAAGGGGGTGATCTCTGCGGACCAGGCGCCTCATATAGTTTCGATTGAACTTCACAGGTAAGTTCGTTTAATCGTTAAATTATAAATGTATTAAATTAGTATATTCTCAGAAGTAAACTCTACACGGTACATCATAACTGCAAATTCGAACACTACTTGGTAGAAGCCATATAAATTTAAAAAGATAATTCATAGTAAAATACACGCACGTATTATAAATATTTATGAATATTTCATTGGGAAAGAAGAGTTCAGAACATAGACCACATTAAATTTTAAATAATTGAGTATTAAAATCTACCTGTTGTTGTTTAAGGTGGTAGATTTAAGAATTTTTAGTAAATACATTAATTTACTTACTTTCCATTTCAATTCGTTTGTTTGCCATTGACAAAGTCTGGAATAGGTCATTTTGTCACCGCATACAGTTGGTGTTCTGTGGAATTCCAGGTCCACTGTTTCCTCACTCAAAGCCTTTCCTCACGGC